ATAGTCGCCCTGACAACAAGACCAGGTTGCGACAACGAGGTCAACCCACTTCTATAAATCGAAAGGAGACAGAGGCCACAACATCTTGGTCTTCATATTTTTCGAGTTATTTCAGCCTATTAAGTGGCGCATACAAAGCCCAATTTCCACATATATACCAAAGCTGTCTTTCATCACTTATTTTTTTAGTAGTACTGACTATTATTTAAAATTCTTATTCAAAGGTGGACCATTTTTTGACAAAAATAAATGTCTAGCGTGGATGGATACGGTCTCGTGAAATAGCCTGAATGCCGATTTCGCAAAACTCAATCGACATAGAACTTACTGGATGGGTAAACTATGAATTAACCCTTGAAATAAAAAGCCGAATCATTAAAACCCATTTACTGATTCATTTTCCGTATAGATACCGAATCTCTTTCAATATTCGAGGTAGTTGGGTCAGGAGGAAATGTGAGATTCAGGTTGGATGAAAGCGAGACTTACAAAGAAGTGAATATTCGACGAAAAATTAATCCGGAGTTCCGTTTGGTGGCCTATTAATTCTTTGCATTTGGCCCTTTTGTCGGTGTTTTCGGTAGCCATAATATTGATGTGATAGTCGATATGCTCTTTCGATTTGTGGGCGCTACTGACGGTTATTTCGAGAATATACTTGCTGGCTGACTTTTGATTTTAGTCGCTATTTCAGTCTTGCCAAAGTGACCTATCAGTCAAGTTTATATTCCGTCTTGGTGACACCACATCAAAACACTCAGTGAAATTCTGAGCAGAGCTGTACAGGTTTAGTGCAAGTAAATGTATCTTGTCTGTCACTAAGCCGCATCACAATCTCTATTTAAGGTAAGCTTGACCACGATGAATGTCACATGGAAATTATGTACAGTCGTGTTGAATATGCCAACGAAAAGACGGTATAAGTAGCCGGTTAGTAAGTAGTATGAGTCGTCGATATAATGTGATGACGCGAAAATGGGTTTAATTCGCGTCGTGGCATTGATAAGGCCCAATCGGCCTTGGTCTTGCCTACAGACCAACTCAACTCAACCATGATGGAATCTACAGCGTCCGTTTTGGACGAAGTTTGATGCGTCGTGCAATCAGATGGGCTGAGAGTCGTATCTGCACGAGGGGTTTCTAGGCGAGTAGTCGGGCAGAAAACGTAAAGTTTCGCTGTCCCACTTCGGTTGACTGATTTCGCTGTCAAGATGGATATTGACGAGGATATTCTGCATACAGAGCAAACAGGAAGGCTCGTCCAGCCTCCTTCATAAGCGCAGCAATTTGCCACAACAGACCAGATGTGGTGTGCATTTTGTGTCGGACACTTCATTAAAGTGGCCCTGTTACACACCGTCACGTCTTGTATGAAGGGCTTCATAAATCCCACTGTGTTGATTTAGTGTGTGCAGGCGTAACTCATTGTTGGACCGAGAATGGGTACATGAGGGTGTAGCAGATGTTCAGTTCAGACCTGAGGGCCCACGACCTCTGCGTCTTTTGGCCACTAACAACTAGGAAGTCAGCCCTAAATGATAAAATGGCCGAAATGAGATTTGTACTGTTCGAATTCACTTTCATTCACTTGTAGCTGTAGTGGACAAGAAAGTGTAACCTCTCGTCAGGTCATAGTCTCCTTTTGCTCTACCCAATTGGGCTGACTTGTTGTTGCGGGGACTTTCATTTGGTATGAAAGTGAATGAAGAAGAGATTCGTTGGTCGATCTCACCAGATGAGTCACAACTACCTTTCTCGAATGTACCCTTTATGGCGTCGTCTGTGGTAATAGTAGGAAGAATTGATAACGTCGGATTGTGGTGTTGATACATTGCCAGACGTCCAGAGTGGATCGTAGTCGAAATGCCTCAAGTCCATGGTCCAACCGTTTTGGACGAAAAGTTGGTCTCTTTGACGAGATGTAGCCTGGCGGTGAGCATTGTAAGACTCACTGATGATGCTGGAGGAACATCTGCAAATGTGCCAAGTCCACAGGCAGACTTCGGACAAGGTGAGCTCAACTAAATCACCCCGACAAAACGAACAAGTTGCGAAAACGAGGTCAGTTCACTTTTTATACATTGAAATGAGGCTGCGACCAAAATATAGGACACAAATTCTTGATCGAAGGTATGAAGACCAAGATGGTGTGGCCTTTTGTGTGGTCGCAGTCTCCTTTCGTTGTATAGAGGTTGGTTGACCTTGTTTTCTCAACATGGTCATGTTGGTAGGAAGACGTTTGGGAATGTTCCACGTCCACGGTTCAACTTTGGAAATGATCATGCAGACAATGGACCCCTGACTAGGTGCGTTCCAATAAGTCTTCCTACCAATATGACCATGTTGCGAAAACAAGGTCAAACAAATTCTTGATCTTCATATCTATGCGAATCGTCATGACTACTATGGCAATGCACTTGAGGCCAGGGCCATTCATCTGGATTGCCAAGACCACAAGAACAAGTTGAGAAGACGAGGTGAAACCCCTTCCGACCAAGATAATGGTTCAAAGATCTCATAATGGATAGCAGAACACACCAGCATAGCCGGTGTGTTGTGTTGAAGTGTATTTGTGTAGATCAACGACTTTAGAGTTGTTAGGCTAGAATGAGAGTAGGTGAGGTATGAAAATTATTGGGTTTGCGTTTCGGGCGGGGAGCATGAGTTTAAGGTCTGTAATGGCGTCGACACAACTGTGGCATTTAAGGTCAGGATTCCTGAGTCTTAAGCAAATCTGTTTCGGTATGCTAATTGTTCCATTTCTGATCCGGTTGAGGTAGCGGGAAACTTCGAACAACCAGCATACAGGACTATGAAAAGTGGTGGGCAGAATGAAATCATAAAGAAAAAATAACCTCCTAACAATTGCCGGTAAAGTTTGTGTCAAAGATTGGCATGCGGCAATTCACGGGCATGAAGAAAAAGAAGCAATTGATGGCTGGCAGAAGACAGTGGAGAGCGGTTCGACTCCCGCTGAAGGTGTTGATAAGACCGAATCGAGGTCGAAACTGCCGTCCACTGGTGCCTGAATGAGAACAACTTTTGGGAAAGCAAGGCTGTGTGAAATTCAATGGAAACGTCAGCTCAACTCATATCATTGATGGGAAAATTCTTCTTCTACCAGTTCTTCATCACTTTAAACGAAATTGGGTGAATACAACTCATATTACTGATTTACTGGTAGTCACGAAAACAATACTTAATTC